CTACACTCGCTGGAATGAAAAGAAATCCAACCTAGGTAATAAATTGTCTGTGACCCAATTATTCCTAAACCAATCAAGCTTACCAGTTGGGACTTTAGAGAAAAATGACACAACATAAGACTATAGAGAATCTGCACTTGTACCTTAACGAGATGAGACACTTTAAGAATGAATGGCGTCGATAGATTAATTGAATGCAACTATTTATTCCTATAAGAGATATATTAAACTGAGAAAAATGTTTTAAATTACATAATAAATACCAGATAAAATAATATATCTATACCTGATTTTGTTTGGCATCTGAGCCTGATACCATCCATCAAGATCGAAGATTCCAAGGTATAGCCGAACAGGAGTAGCAGGATTTATGGTGCACCAGGTAAAACAAACTACACGATTAAAATTGGAAAAAGAGGCTTCAACACATTCCGCATCAACCTGATTGTTGGCCTTAAAGTTTCTGCGGCTTGGGAAATTTCGACTGTAAGAGTTAGATGAAGTGCCGATAGGAAGAATGCCAAGTAAAAGATATTGATGCGTCTTGAGGAATTGATAGTTATTTGTTGGGTATGATTTGAGCAGTGGCTGGAGGATCGGAGAGCGCACTGAGAGACGTTCGGAAATGCCAATCAAGTCCTATTATTAGAGAAGAATTAAATAAAACTATAAACATAAAGAAGAATAAGAAGGAAAATCGAAAATGAGCCTTTATATGGCTGCTCCATGTTATTTGTTGAATATTAGTCTCAGTAACATTCCCTGCGTAGTTTTAGCATAGCATATGCTACTGGGGCTCTTGCATACTGTCTTAGTGTATTTATTCACTGTCCATTTGTCAATTTTCCCATTCACACTAATTTCAGTTTTCTCTATATTCCTTCCTCTCAAAGACTAATGTGACATCCTTTGTCTGCTTTTAGATCTATTTAATACTTTATTATAAATTCTGTATACCTTTTGGCTATATCGTTTCTATTCTTGTATTATTAATGCGACAGGATTGTTGGGATAATTTCAATCTCCAGCTCTTTTTGATTCTTTAGGCAGCTTATCAGAGGTATTTATCGCATCTAATAAAATGTTATTGGTTACTTTCTTTTTATTCTGAAATGCAAAATTAAATATCGACTTGAGGATCGCCATTGTTTCAAGGCCAAGAGGACTACTTGGTCATGGTCTCTGATATGGACTCTGAGACTCGTCACTCTAGAGGCTTCTTCATTCTTGCCGGGTGGTTCAATCTAGGGCTGCCTATAGATCCCATACTTATTCAGCTTCCCTTGGCGCTTTGTTTAGATTAATAAAGCAGACAAAATGTAGAAAACGACCACTCTAACAATATTTCGTCTGTCATGTGAAGCTTCAGAAACTCCTCAGGAATGAGAATATGACTGAAATCATGCCTAAGATAGTACTTAATATCTTAAAATTAAAAAAATCACACTCTTACTAGCATGTGGCTCCTCTAATCGGCTTCATAGGAACTAGATTTTTTCAAAAAAAATGCAAAAACTGGAAGAAATGCAATAAAGAATGCAAAAGTAAAAAAATACTCTATACTTTATTGATATAGTCAAAAAATGAAGGTGATGAGAAACCTGAGAAGCGACTTAAATAGCAAGACTACACATCGGATTTCAAATAAAAAATCTCATCAAGAAATTAATAAATTCTGTCGGTGTTATGCTGTCAGTGTCAATTGGAAAGGTTGCCCAAGCTCCACAAGAAAAAAAAATAATTTGAAGATATGAAGACTAGGATGATGTTGCTCGTGGTATGGTCGCAGTCTCACGATTTATACAAGTAGGTTTACCTCGTCACAACTTGGTCCTGTTGTCAAGGTTACTTAATTAGACGCACATTGTCCGAAGTCCTCTGTCATAGTAGTTATCATGATTCCCAGAATCAGACTGCGGGCTTGGGACATTCTTAGACGTTTCGCCGGAATCGTAGTCGGTATCATCAGTGAGTGTTGCTATTTTCCGCACCAAGCTACGAACTCGTCAAAAAGACAAGTAAAGTCAATCCTCCAACCAACATTCTGCCGGAAGCGATTACACTATCACTCATCTTTCTGCTTCGGCCCACCTATCAACTCGTAACCGTCTAATCCAACTCCCACCCTATCACAACTTCTCACTTGTTAACATTCAACTATTCAAAATGTGTGCCATTTTTGGCAAATTTAGCGTGGCCTCATCACACTTGCTATTCACTCAGACGCCCTGCCTTTGGATCAGTTAATCCGACTCGGGCCCACTATACGGATCTCGCTCATGGGCCCGTAGATCCGTTCGTTAGCTTTCTGGTTGACCGATTTTACTCGGTTCCAGTCAAGTCTGTGTCTTATTCTAAGCGTTATCTCTGCAGCCTTACCGATAAAAGCGTGAAGTCTCTGATTCCCATATTTGTAGAGATAATTGATTAAACCCGTGTTACCTAAGCAAGTTCTGGACGCCTATCTCTGATAGAAGGCTGCACCTGGAGTGGATTTTTAGTACACTTTAGACAATACAAAATTTCTGTTAAGGCTTACTCATCCGTCTGCCTAGCTCCCTGACTGTGTACCCCCCAAAGTTGACAAAAGCCTTGTAGGAAAGTTACTGATGTAGGTTATCAATATCTACGAAAAGTTTCATGAGGATACAGAACGGGAAATGAAGATGAAACTAATTCCAAAGATCTTGACACATCAAAAACGAAAACATTATAACAGATTTGTCAGGATATGCAAGATCCTGGAAACGAATGAACACTTAGTTCTTCAGGCTGTTAAGGAGAAGCGACAGTGATAATAAACAAAAAATAATATATAAGTTGTTTGACCTTGTTTTCGCAACCTAGTCATATTGGTACGTGGTACATTCCCAGGCGTTTCGGTGGCATCGTAGTCGGCATCATCAAGGATTCTCGCCATTCGTAGCACCTTATTACAACTCGTCAGAGACAAGTGAAGCCCATCCTTTGACCAAACGTGTGCTAAACAGTTGTGGTATCTATCCTTCTGCCCTGAGCTATTCACATTTCCTATATCCTCCTATCATGCCTTCCCTGTCACCATTTTTACCGTGCTTATTCTTACTGTAGTGTGCTGTGCTACTTCAAGCGGCATTCATAAAAACCCTTCACACTCCACATTGTCGTTATCACCCCCTTCACCCTTGTGCTGGAAATGTTGAACAGTCGGTCATATTGTTACGTAGTCCTTCCCTGGATCCTATCACTCTCCCTATTGCCCCGTAGAATCCGTCTGCTATCTCCCTCGTACATGTATTTCACCCGACCACTCCTGCCAACTGTTCTACTCGAGGCGTAATTCGTCCATCCCCTGCAACTGTGTGATTGATTAGAGTCAAAAGCCTCAGAGTAAATCCCATGGTCACGTCTCTTGTTAAACTATCTGTCATCCAACTAGCTCCAATCGCCGCTTCATCTATCTGTCTCTAACCCTAATACCAAGTCTATGACTTGCTATGCCCTAGTTGCTTGTGTGCCAACCGACAAATCTTGTAGTACTGCACAAGGGTGAAGAGGGTGATAACCACAGTGTGGAGTGTAAAGGATTTTCATAAATGCCGCTCGAAGGAGCACACCATACTACATTAAAAATTAGCACGGTAAAAATTTTGACAGGGAAGTATTGATAGTAGGATATAGGAAATGTGAATAGCACAGGGCAGAAAAGGAGACACCACAATTGTTTAGCACACGTTTGGTCAAAGGATGGGCTTCACTTGTCTCTTTGACGAGTTGTAATATGGTGCTACGAATGGTGAGACTCACTGATGATGCCGTCGAAACGTCTGGAAATCTACCACGTCCACGGTCCTACACTGGAAATGATGATGCATACAATGGACTCCTACCAATATGACCAAGTTGCGAAAACAAGGTCAAACAACATCTATACAACGAAATAAGACTGTGGCCACAAAAAAGGCCATACCATCTTAGTCGTCATAACTACGAAAAAACAATATAACTAGAAGATGGAATATATTCTACTAGACAGGACTACATATTGTATACTAAACAAGGACCCAACTATGAAGATCAATGGAATCTTAAGTGACATGCTAAAAGATACGCATAGTAACGGGAAAATTGACGCATGGACAAGAAATGCTAACATAAGAAAGGATGCACGACCACCAACAGCCTACAGATTACCCAAAATACAAAAAGAAGGCGAGTCTTTAAGGCTCAGCAACAAATATGCAGCAACACACAAATTGGCAAAGTTCATGTTTGAAAGTCAAGCAATTAAATAAAACGCTATCAAACAGGATGAAACAGTCGTATGAATTTTCTCTAAAAAACAAAAACATGGCACTGGAAGAAACAGACTTTTCGGTAGGTTTTGATGTGGAATCCATGTATAGAAATATCTCTGGATAAAATGTGCTAACGGTCCTGCTGGAAATCCTGGAATCACAACGGATCAGAAGGGAGTCGTCAACACGGCTAATCAACTTGACAATAAGGATAACGGGACCACCAATAAACAGATATTTGGACTTCCCGTGTGATTGCCGCTCTCACCACTTTTGGCAAACGTATTCACGAACAAAAT